GGGAGGGGCGGGAGGCAAAACAGTAAATATGTTTCAGAAATAGTCTAAAAGAGAATAAGAAATAAATACAAAAAAAATCAAAACAGTTGGATTCACTGCTCTTGTCTTTAATTCTCTATTTTCCACATGCAGCAGTATAACCCCACCTTGTATTACAGGACAGGGTGCTTCAATCTCAGTATTTTCTGATGCAGAGAAAATAAAGTGGAATTACAGGTCACTGAAGACATGAGAGGGCTGAGCAGCATAACCTAAGTCTCTATTTGTTCAAGTGCCAGTTCATTATACTATTTTTGTCCTGAGTTCCACATTATTCCACCTGATACTCAGGATTCTGAAGGTATCACACAGTGACCTCAAAGCCTCATTAGAAAGTGCCAAAAAAGGGGGACACCTTCAGGAATAATTTAGAATGCAAAAAAAAAAACCACGTGTTTATATCTCAATCTGAACCCTTGCCTGGCTGTTTTATAGCAGGCTTATCTTTATGTCTAGGGTTCCTTTTAGGTGAAAGCTCAAGGTAGCTCCAGAATTGCTGGCAAATAGAAGGCACACAGTGTCCATTTTAAAATAAATAAAAGCTAGTTGTCACAGTATATAAACTGTTATCTTTTCCTTCCTAATGAGCTTTGTGAGATTATCTAAAAGAATCTGTTTCTCTTTTAGGCTCAGATTTAATTTAAAGGAAGTGAGAATAGACAACAATTTATTGAAAGCTGACTGTGTGTTGAGAATCATCAGTGCTGTTTTCTCCAAGCTCTTTCTAACCGGCTTCTTTCTTTTTATTGGAAAGCATTCTATTATTCTTAAATAATAGGCTTTCAAGAACAGGAAGTCACTTAACCACCAAACAATCACGTTGTCACAGTTCTAAATAAAGCTAGACTTTACATCATTAGCCCGACAGATCTCACATATTTTAAACTTGAACAAATAGATCAAATGAAATGTTTTTAAAACTTCAGGGAAACACACAGAATCAGCACAGCTTTGAGCACCTTAGGCTGGGATTTTAAAGACTAAACACCACTTAGCATTTATATGACCCTTGCAAGCCTAGGACTCTCTAGATCAGCGGTTCCCAACCTGTGGGTCGTGACCCCTTTGGCGGTCGAACAACCCTGTCACAGGGGTCACCTAAGACCATCCTGCATTTCAGATATTTACATTACGATTCATAACAGTAGCAACATTACAGTTATGAAGTAGCAACGAAAATAATTTTATGGTTGGGTCACAACATAAGGAACTGTATTTAAAGGGCCTAAGGTTGAGAACCACTGCTCTAGATG